TCAAAGGAGCTCACTCCCCTTTTGTTGTGATTGACACACATTCTTCTGTGGAACAAAGGGCCGTAGTCTCTATTAGGAAATAAAACAGTTCTGTTGAAAAAGACTTGAAAGAGACTTAAGATATCCACCTAGGCCCTTTGGTGTATCTTTTGCTTGCTGGTGGACTGGAAAACTCAGGGAAGTCTGGGATAGATCCCCATTTGTTCAACATTTCCGTTCCAAAAGCGATAACATCCCCTCCCACATGGACACACATAAGGACCTCCCTTGGATCAGTGTGTATGTGCTTGCACATGCTTCCTACTTTCCTTTTCAAACAGGGAGAGAGGGGGCCAAGGTACATTTGGAATAGAAGATCCAAGATGCATCTTGCATCCCAATGAGAGCCGTCAGCACGCTCACAGCAGCAAGGTTAATCTAGATGTCAAAGTCTGCTGACAGTGCAGGAGATTGCTCTGGGGTGACATCCCCATCTGAAGTCTTAATGCCGCAGTCAATTTTAACCTCCCTTTTAAAGAAAACCGGAGTTGCATTTGGCCGGGCTTTCCGAGTTAAATGCACAACTGTCCTTGAAAGCGGGTTCAGCTTTTCCCACAGCTCAGGAGATCTGTTTTTTTAGAGGAACGTGGTAAAGAAAGAGTCACTGAACTAGGAAAGGACAGTGATTCTTATGGAATTTAGCACATAAATATATATTTTTAAAAGTTTGCACATGCTAGTTCTTCCAGATAGCTTAACCATCTCTCTTTTATTACTCAAAGTAAGGGAAAGGACAATATAATATGTTTGCAAAGAAGCATAATCACAATTCATAAATGCAATGAGGGTTAATGAATGGAATATGAGTATTTTCTGGGCATGATCTTGCGTTGGGAAATACATCTACCTTTTCTGTTACATTAATTTCAGAAGAAAATGGTCTCTGGAATACAAGGAGCGAGGCTACGTCTCATGATTTTCCCTTTGTGGTGTGTTCCACCATGAAAACGCTAACTAGCTCTTGGTTGCATCCAAACCGAACAAGGGGGGAAATTAAAAAAACCTAATTTAGAAATATCAACATACATTCTATGGACATGTGGAAAAATAAAAAACATTAAAATATTATCAAAATATTTATAGAATTCACTCACCGTAACAGCACGCCAAGGAAAAACTAAAATCATCTAATCAGGAAATGAAATAAGTTAACATACTGTCGCTTGTGACACAGAAATTTACATTATATACATTATTTTTTTGTTGTTTTTTAAAACTCCTTTGTATTGATTGGTGGTTCCTTCAAGTTAATCCATTCACTAAAAAGCTCCTCAGAATATTGAAAAGCCCAGTTGGATACTTCCTGTAGCATCAAAGAGAAGATCCGGCCAATCAGAGAAAAAGTAAGGCTTTTTTTTTTTTTTTAAGTCCTTGCCAATCATCTGACATCGCAACGGTGAGCAGTCATATCCAAAAGGCGATATACCCTTAGCAAGAAACATGGCATACATCCACACTTGGAAAAAGAAAAATAAATTAAAAATATATATATATTTATAAAATGAAAAACAAGTAACCACTGGGAGAGTTGTCAAGCAGTCAGGAAACGAAAAAATGACTTTTTTTCATACTTTAGGGGGAATTTTCCATTATTCCTTTTTTAGAGTTTAAAAGTAGGCTGTTCTTACCAAAACAAAAAGAAAAACAAATGAAATAAAGAAAGGAGACTCCTCTTCTTGCAGTAGAACTGTACATCTTTATATGCAGGTAAACAAAATGTAAAAGTGCTTTTTAAAGACTGTTATCCAGTGTATCGAAAGGAGTAGCAGGCACTTAAGTCCATCCCCATGTTGTAGGTGTCTGACAGTGTTGTTTTGGGTAAATCCCAGGTTGTTCGTTCCTCCGATGGATAGACGCAGACAGACATCCACACATATTCCCAACAAACACTAGCCCAGGATATCCAGGTAGACAGGTGTGGCTTTGCCCAAGGCATAAAGAATTTTCTGGATGTCTTTGATGTTCAACCTCTGCTGTGGTTCCCTCTGCCAGCATCCCAGCATAATGTCGTACACTTCCTTGGGACAAACCCGTGGTCTCTCCAGCACACGTCCTTGTGTGATGCATTCGATTACCTGCAAAGACATGGAGGGTGGAGAATGGAATTACTTGATAAATATTCTATTGCAGGGGTCCTCAACCTTTTCCAGGCCAAGGACTCCTGTTACATACTTTATAAACTTGAGCATTGCATTTTAAGCCTGGCCTGTAAGTATTTATATACTTTGGGGGAAAAAAATAAAAATAAAAAAATAAAAATATATATATATTAGTGCTGTCAAAATTAGCACGTTAACGCAGGCGATTCATTTTTTCAGTTTAACGCATTACAATTATTTAATGCTGTTATTGCAGGGGCGGGCTTCTGTCTCTTTTTTCTTAACAAGAAGTGCATTTATTCAGTCGCAGAACGTCTTTATGACCACATCAAACCGGAGACGTTTCAGACACGTGCTCCAACTTCACTTCAGCACCAGGCGCGAGTCAAACGAGCACGGAAACTGTACTGTGCTCACAGCGCGTGCTCTTCAATTGCATCCACAAAGGCGCAGGCGTGCGCTGTAGCCTGTATCATTTCATATCAAATCGTGAAAGAAACTACATGCAATGTCGTAGTCAGTTAAGGCATGAAGTTAACAAAATGGCGATTAAAGCTTCCTTAAAACTGTGCACGCATGTAATATGTTATATATGAGTTACATTTAAGAACATGTCTCTGAAATGGTTTTCCAAACTGTCCTGGAGCAGCCCGGTGTACTGACAAAACATGCTACCTATCAGATTGTGCTACCAAAAATATATCTGCATTGTTTAAAAGGCACAATATGTATGTTTTTGCCACTAGAGGGTGCGTATTCAAAACAACCAAAGAAACAAAGGTGTAGTTAGATGACCCCGTGACTGAGTGTGGAATCATGGGAGTTGACGTCTTCATCTCCACAGCTGATGCAATCCGACGGGACTCTGAAGATATCATGTTCATGGATGAGCTAATGCATTAAAGATTTATTAACGTCGTAGTATGAAGCAGGGTGAGGCTGAAAGCCGTCGAAGCGAAATGAGGCCGCTGAACGAGCGCGGCACATGGCTCGAAAGCAGCGGAGCTTTTATTATACCACAGTCGACTGCTTCCGCTCCTTCCGGAAAGCAGCGGAAGTAAGCAGCGCTGTTTTATCATACTAGATACATTTGAACGTTCTGTTATAATGCTACTCTGTGCGGTCGTCACCTGTCTAATAAAATGCATAGCATATTAAAGCGTCTTTGGTGTTTCCATGTTTTCTACAAAACAAAACGGAAATCGAGGGTGCATGACGTCATTGGCAGGCGACAGAATTACACTATAGACACGGTCCGTTTACGCATAGCATATTAAAGCGTCTTTGGTGTTTCCATGTTTTCTACAAAACAAAACGGAAATCGAGGGTGCATGTTATTGGCAGGCGACAGAATTACACTATAGACACGGTCCGTATCACTAGTTAAAATAGCTTATTTCTCTGGATTTAAACATTCTTAGAAACATTTGGGATAATGTAAGTACAGAAATCAGCAAAATATATAAAACTGTTTTAGTGGTTTTTGAATATTTTAATAAAAATATTGTGCCTTTAGGGTAAATTTAGGGTAAGAGTATGGGTGGGTAGGTTTAGGTTAGGGGTAGTTATGAACATTAAAAAAGCCTCAAACCACATGAATAAAATGCTGGTAGCACAATCTGATGGGTAGCATTTTTCGCTATCTGCTTAATGGGAGGTAGCACAATATGAGTGGGTAGCACAAATCGTCAGAACACTGGCACTGTCTCCCTCATCTAACACACTCGATTCAACTCGTCAGTTCATTAGTAGAGACTGAAATGGGTCCGACCTGAAGTGGGTCAGAAAAGGTAAAGAGAGTTGAGAGAAAATACAATGTGTGTCAGATCTGCATCACATTCAACAGCTGCAGCTCTTGCAATAGCAGGCAAATATGCTAATAACCAGCTGCTGTGATGTCTGTTCATCAAGAACAAAAGAAAAAAGAGGAAATCAATAACTTTTATAGCTTTAAGGATTCATCTGTATTTAGTCTAGGATTTAGTGTTTGATAACTTTATTAAGTTTCTGTATATTTCTGCTGAGGGGCACAGGTAGCTAAATATGACATTTATTATAATGGGCTTATGTGAAGATTGACAGTCAACAAAGTAAAATGATCTCAAACGTACGGCACGCTCTCTTCATTTTCTCAAATGATCATAATCACATCCATTCATTTTACAATCCTGCTACTAGCATTTTATTCAGATTAAAACCCCTTTAATTTGGTTGAGAAATTATTTATTTTTTTTGAGTGGCTTTTGCACATCATGTCATGCCGTTGACTACGTGCCACTGCAATAGACACATTTTGCAGCATTAAGTTTAATGATTAATCAATTAATTGATCATTAATTTAAATGATGATCGATCATGGAAATGATTAAAAATTGACATCCATAATATATATATAATAGCTCTTTGATGAATAGAAAGCTAAAAAGAACAGCATTGATAATAAATCAACATGTTGGAATGATTTCTGAAAGATTATGTGACACTGAAGACTGGCGTAAAGGCTGATGAAAATTCTGATTTGCATCACTGAAATAAATTACATTAAAAAAACATAAAACATCTTTTGAATGGCAGTGTGTGTGTGTATATATATGTATGTATATACATTACATACATTTTATATATATATTGAAATAAAAATAGACTATAGATATACAGTATATGATCCAAAGTAACTAGTAACTAACTACTTTTTTTTATCCAATACTTTTTACTCTTACTCAAGTTACTATACAGACTATTACTTTTACTTTTACTTGAGTAAATATTTCTATAAGCACTTTTACTTTTACTTGAGTACAGTTTTTGGGTACTCTACCCACCTCTGGTCTGAAGAACTGTCTGATGTGTTTCTTTTGTACAGCAGACTTATTCTCACATTTACCAGTTTCCTGTTTCTGTAGAGAAACCATCTACAGCCTGTATGTTATGATACGCAAAATGGGACCATCTCATGAAACTCAAGACATTTGCCTCTGTGGATGGCTTCGTATCGACTTTTAGAAGAGACAGATGATTGTTCGTCGCCTCTCGGGTTCCCGGCGCTGACTCCAGCTAGTGGCTGTCTGTGTTCTATCGACTGAAAGTTTGATTTAGTTTCTTCCACTGGCAGAAATGACAACATACGTTCTGATGCAATACAGTAGCCACCGTCCCTCTGGCAACAGAATATGAAGCAGTGCATGTGATTGGTATTCAAGCCCCTTCAGTGCATAATACAAAAACACACATCTTTCTTGCATAAATCGCACAGCACCTATAGATTATGGTTCACTGTGTTGATATTGATAATCTCTGTGTGAAGTAGTGCTCAAACCAGCTGCGACTTGAAGCTTCGAGAGAAGCACTGTGGCTTTTTCACTTTTCACAGCTTGGGAATCTGAAGTGGGGAATGAAGTATTTTTGGCAGATCCAGCTGTGTTTGGTCAGCAGAGAAAAACAGAACACACTTTCTCACATAGACTCTCTGCTTTATATTACTGGTGCCTGTTCTCTTCTGATTCCTGTTTATAACTGTGAATCTCATGAACATATATATTATTTATATTATTAGGGCTGTCAACTCGATTAATCGGGATTAATTGCATCCAAAATTTACATAATATATATATATATGTGTGTGTGTGTGTATATATATTAGGGATGTAATGATTACCGGTTTGACGATAAATCATGATAAAATCCCCCACGGTTAGAATTACCGTTTCATCTTTTAATTATCATTAAAACCGTATTAGATTACAGCGCTTTGAACAACTCGAGATAAATAAATACTGTCCAGCATAACGCACAGTTTTAAGCAACAGTCTCACATGCACACAGCACACAGAGTAGTTTCGAGTTGAGTGAAAACAGGACGGAAAAGCTAGGAGGTTTTAAAAGAGTGCATACACAAATGAATTACACAATGAATTACACAAATTAATATATGAATGAATGAATTAATGTACCTCTGAAGGTTCTGACTGTCTTCAGAAACGATTCGATGGCATTTTGTTTTCATCTTCACTCCATGTAATACCTAAAGAAGTGTTCTTAATCGCAATACTGCTTTGTCCACGGAGGTTACGGGAAACAGCTGTAATTCAGCTTTTCCATAAGCGCCACCTGCTGTCAAAATTTTGACCGGTTGATCAAAAACAAGCTTATGTGGATTCTACACATTTAAGCAATTCAGATAAGATGTCTAGAATTATTTATGGAGCAGATAAAATACATATAATCATTTATTAATCAATTATCATTTTGACTTATATATTTTATTTATTTAAAGGCTGAAATGTGAGGTTTACCTTTTTATTAAACTTTTTCAAAGCTTTATTTGAACATTTACATTAGATATTTCAACATGCTATTAAACTGTTGTCAGTTAAGTTGTCATTTAAAATTCAAACATCATTGGTAATGTTATTGTTTTAGTGATTGTGCAAACAAAAAGTCATTTTATTAGTTTTTTGTTGATTTTTAAATATGAAACTTGGTGAAGTGATTTATGTGTCAGTCCTTTTTGAACATCTCCAGCACATTTTAACAATACCGTGATAATACAGATAACCGTGACACACACACACACACACACACAATTATAGAATTACAGCCTTCATTTTGATTACGCAAAAATATAATCTTTTTCTTTTTTCTTTTTTCCCCCTTTTAATTTGGGAGTGAATTAAGGTTTCACCCATAAACTTAACTTATTATAACAACTCTCTTCTCCTATTATAATCTACAGTCACTCCCAATATAATTTTCAGCATTTTCTGCAAATGGGAATATTTAGTCGCAACATTTTGTTTTGAATGCATAAATGAATACATAAAGCCCAGTTCAGTCACAGTAGTGAACACAATGTTATAAGGCTCTTGTCGTACCATAGCAACATTTAGTTCAATAGTGGTAATTATGAGATTTATGTGAAAAAGTAAATAATAATATTTGCTATTCAGACACATGGAATAGTTTGGGAGCAGCGTCTCTTATGTGTGCGCGGCTGTTTGGAGTTCATCCAAACCTTAGTTGTGAAATGTTAACATGGAGAACAATAGCCGAAAATTAAGCAGCGATATTCCTCATTAATATGTCACACAAGGGAATGTGTGTGCGATGAATACGCCAACAACATGGCATTTCAACATGTGTACTTCCTGTTCATTTCATAGAAAGAAGTCATGTTCAAGATGAGCTTGAGTTACCGTCTATAGCTGTCAAATGACTTAATATAACAGCCAGCGATTGTTTAATTTCACCTCTTTTGTCATCCTGCTAGAAGACTTCATTTATTTTGACCAAACACCATAATCTACGCTAAAATTAGCACTGAGTGTGTCTCATATTGCTACATAATTGTCAGGACTGTGGGAGTTACAATCCAGATCCAGTTTTTAGTTTTTAGTCCAGTACAGACGTTCTGTATCCATTACGCTTTTATTGTTGTATCTCATCTAGGCAATGAGTCTTTACACCTTGCTTTCGCCTACGGCAGTCATAGAGCAGTGGTGGTTTACTAATAACGTGTGACCAAAGCTAGCAAGAGGGCTAGCAAACAGCTAAAAAAAAGAGAAGATTTCTTGATGGGTTTTTCTTTATGGAAACCGATAAAATGAGCATACCTCATTATTTGCCAGCTGAAACCATGGCTGCTTGCCATAGGTGAAGATCTCCCAGAGGATGACGCCGAAGCTCCACACGTCACTCTCCGTCGTGAACTTCCTGTACATGATGCTTTCTGGTGGCATCCAGCGAATGGGCAGCATTGTGTGTCCTCCCACCTGTCGGGCACCAAATTTTGATGATCAAGGACTAGTCACCTTCACAAACTCATAAAAACTCAATATTACCAAAAGGTTAAAATAAGGAGTTAAAATCCTTATTATTTGTATGTACCTGTATTTGTGGAGAAAAGTTAAAAGTCGCCTAGAGGCATTTTAAAACATTTTTGTCGAAATTCCATTTGATTTCCTTGATTTTTTTCATAGCATTTACTAATTTATTAAGGCTCTATAACACAAAGGACAATAACCAGGGTTGGATTGGTAATCGGGCATACCGGGCATTTTCCCGGCGGGCCGACGCACTTAAGGGGCCGACAGAATGTTTTTTTGCCGAAAACCATCCCACAGGGACAGCGAGCAGCCAGTGGCCCATTGGTTTGTCTCCTGTATTGACAGCGTAAACATCCAATCACAATGCGCTTTATAGAAGGAACGATTAAATATTTTGCTCCGCCTATATAAAGATCGCATCACCCCAACTTCTTCCTCGTCGGCTTTTCCCACGTTTTCACATGAGATTTATCAAGAACAGGCTTGCTCTGCAGTGAGTGATGCGGGCCAAAGAGCAAGGCAGGAGAAGATGCGGGCCAAAGAGCAAGGCAGGAGAAGAAGAAGAGAGTAGTTAAATTGGTAAAGTGCTTGATAGGGACTCGCAACGGAGGCAGGAATCTAACCTATCCTAATGTGTGTGCGCGGCTGCGCGCCATGAGTGTAGTATGCGTAAACACTTTTTAATAAAACGTAAATTCGTCCCCCACGATTTTTTTGCCAAGTCAAGTGTGTTCATAGAGGATCCCATGGGCCAATGCAAATAAAGCCAGATTTAAATAAAAAAAGACACGATATTGTCGGACCTGACGTTTTATTCTTATCCAAAACAAGATGTGATATGAGTGTGATACATAGGCTACATACATACATACACTACCAGTCAAAATTTTTGAACAGTAAGAAAGATCCAATAGAAAGACCCAAAGATCAGCATTCATATGCAATAAAAAGCTTTTGCCAAAAAATGCCAGGGCCGATTTTTTGTCCCAGTCCAGCCCTGACAATAACAAATAAATAAATAACAAATAAAAAATTGCTCTAATTCTATGAGAACAGTAACCTCCACATCAAAACTATAATGATAACAACACAGAAATTATATTATGGGAATTTTCAGAATGTTTTTTTTTTTCAGCTGAAAAAGGTGAATAGGGTAAAAAAAAAAATGAATCATAGCTTGATTGTAGTTGATTCTATAATAGCTTACATTAAGAACTGCAAACATTTTTTTTTATTCTACTGCCAGTTTCGTTAAATATGCATATGTGCAAATAAGGCATTATCTATTTAAACATGCACTCATTTGCATACATTTCCAAAAAAAAAAGAACATTGGATAATGTTTCAAAATGTCCTAATTTTTCCCCATATTAGGGTTTTTATAAAGAGAATTTTAGATTTTTTTTACTACATAATGTAAATAATAACCAAATTACTAAATTTGGTTGCACCACATTATAGTATGTGCACTTACAGTGTACTTACCTATGAAAGTACTGGTAATATAAGGTAACTACATTGGGGTACTAGGCTTAGGTTTAGGGGTAGTTTCAGGGTTAGTACCTAGTTATTGTAATCACTATAATAAGTACATAGTATGTACATGAGTAACAGGACTGTAAAATAAAGTGCCACCCTAAATTCAATCATTGTAGTTATCGGTATAGTTCTTGTTTTTGGTGTGAAAGGGCCTTTAATCCTAATTTCTGCTTTTTAGAAGCTGGTAAATAGATCAACCCCTTTTGCTATAAAAAAATAACCAATATGATTTACAAGATTTGTCAAGCCTGGAACCATACAACTGAGAAACCAGGAAAGACGAAGAAAGGGAAAACAAATATATCCATTAAAGGTTTTTGACAGCTCCAAATCATCAAAAGCCATAAATAAAGTCTCCCTCCAGACCTTCCCCATGTTAAGCGAGATATTAATTGATTAAAACAACGAGACATTAATCATCTCTGCCCTGGGCCGGCACTGGACTGGATTGGTTTAGAATCCATTTCCTCTTCGTGTCTGTTGGGTTGGTGTTAATTACAGCCGTGCCAGGACAACTGAGAGTGACGTTTCAATGGCGGACGCGTGGTTATTGCGGCTTTCAACTCGTAAGTGGTGACTGTGTATTAATTACAAGGCTCATTAGTGGTTTGCTCACATGGGAGTAATGCTATCGACTGCGCGCAGGAATACAAAGCAGCCTGCGGTGTACTGTACATCCTCAGAATGCCTGTTTGTGCTTTATAGTATGCGTATTACGCTTTTATTTTTACCAGAAATGAATTTAGGTAGAAAATAGTAAGAAGAAAAACAATTATGGTAATTAAGATTATGGTAAAATGTTTATTGGCTCACGTCCCACAATGCTTTGGCAAGAGTGTATCCTTGGCAACAGGACGTGTCTCTAAGCACAGAGCACAATGACGACAATTTAAGAATTAGGAAAATGTGACTGTTTTCGATGTTTGACGATGAATAAATCACTGTTTATCAAATAAGCAACAAAAAATAACTCTGGTTGTGCATCCACACTCATTTAAATGTGCAAAATGCAAACTACACTGAATAATGAGTGCAAAAATATGAACGTCACGATTAGGAAACTGTATAGAGGCATTGAGATGTACTATAATTAAACGTCTGGGAAGTTTTTTTTCCCCCCGCCGTAATGTCTTTAATGTAGGGAACGATAATGCTGTGTATGTTAATCAGCTACGCTTCTGTGATTCTCATTCGCAGCCAGTTCCTCACAGAGGAGGAAGCTGTCCCACAGGCTCCAGTGATGTGTGGCAAATATCCCTCCCCTCGCTGGCTCGCTCTTTCCCTCCCGCCTCTGCCCTTTAGGAGGTGTAAGCAATATGCCAGTCCTGCTGCGGTCAAACAACACTCCTCTTGTTCCGTGAGATGGAGTTCAGGGTACTACTGGGCCGCTGCTAGCGCTCCCCATGCATAGGCAGGAACTGCTCCCTATGGCCATACTGAGCTCCTCGCCTGGCTAACTCGGCCCACTTTAGCGTTAGCGCACAACATCCTTGCCAAGAAAAGTCAGCCAGGGATGAAGGTAATGAAGGTATGATCACCGGTAATAGACAAAGATAGAAAGGAGAGAGACAGAATTATGTTTGGAGAGCTTGAAACAGTCAAAGAAGATGCTAACATACGTTAGCTGCAATGCTAGTAACACGCTGCTGATGTGTAAGATCCTTTCCCCCACAGTCTGATGATAAAAAATAGCTTATTATTAATGAAAACATGCTACTGTAATGTCTTTTAAATTACATGTCAGAGAATTAAAAGTGTCAAATGAAACATTTATGTTTATTTGTGTTTTCAATTAGGCTTTGATTAGAAAGCTAAGAGCTTAGTTTATTAGCTTAGCATAGCGCTAACTGTTTAAGACTGAACAATATATCACAATAACAGGCTACTTTTTTCAGTCAGGCATTGAGGGGAATAAGACACTGCATACTACTTGCATACAAACAATAAAAAAAAACTATGAGGTGAGTCACAACATTACAAAGTTTAATTTGAAGCAAAAACATCTGAAATACAGACAACAAGTCAGAAGACTGTATACTGTGTTAATAGCTATAATGAGGGAAAGAACTACAATCAAATAAAATAAAAAAACGATGTACTGATTTAAACCACCGATTAAAAGATGTTAATTAGAGATATAAGACATGTTGGTCACACTTTATTTTAAGGTCAAATTCTTGCCATTAACAAATCACTAGCTACAACTTTTGCCTCAATAAACTAATTTGCTGCTTATTAATAGTTTACATTTACATTCAGTCATTTAGCAGACTAGTAATAGTTAGTAAGGTAGTTGTTACGTTTAGATAATGGGTAGGTAAATTATGATGTAGAATGTGGTCATGCAGAATATGTGCTTTATAAGTACTAATAAACAGCCAATAAGTTATTAAACTACAATTTCAGTTTATTTAAAAAAATATAACAAGCTCACAGCAGGTTTGTCTATAAAGGTTTATACGTTTTCGCATAAGTTACATGGGACTTTCAGAACCCAACTGCTGCACTCTTTTTTCTTTTTTCTGCCTTTCATACCATTCTAGTGTAGTATGCTATTATTTAATTTAGCCATGGCTAATGTCCACATACACTCCTATATTTTAAAACCAAACGAAATAGGCTATGTTTGTTATGAAATACTAGCCTTACACTGACTAACTCTATCCAGCCTACTTTTTCTTTTAAAAATGTTTTAAAAATTAAAGTTAATTTGAAATGATTCAAAGTTAAACAGTAGCATGCTTCATTACGTGTCACATTACATTACATGTGAGTGGCATTTAGTTTAAAAAAATTGGAAATTGAAATATTTTGCCATTTTTAATTCAGTTTACATAGATTGCGTTTTTAATCCCAGTTCATTCATCACACAGGTTGGGTGGAGTGCACTGTACAGTGTGCTCTGCATACTGCAGTGTATCCATACAGAAAAGTGCACTGAGTAGGCAGAGTAGGTATGCTATATGGCAGAAATAGTAATAGTAGTATGTTAGTATGCTAATCTAAACACAGACATATTCAGTGTTTTTGTTTAGTGAATATGTTCGTGCTCGAGTGTTTGGGAAATTGAATCGATTGCAATGATTGAACTTCTATTCATCTGAATAGCTTCTCCCGGATTGCTTCCCACCATCTTTTCCGAGGTGGAACGACGAGACTGCAGATGCATGTAAATCAGTCTGCGGGGCTTCGTTGAGATTGGAATGAGAACTGGCAGGGTGGTGACAAAAATGCCAACACAATCTGAAAGGGCACCGATGAAAGGCAACACAATTAGCAATTGGAGGGGGGAAGAATCGGAGACGAGGAGGATGGGAATCACACAGCGGTAATTAATGCATATTAAAATCAATAGCATGTTTGTTTCAATGAACAGCTGACGAGAGATGATGTCATTAAACGAGCGCTCGTCAGAAGTTAAAGACCGTTGAGGAATAAGACTTATGTCGTTGGAATTTTGAGCAGGTTTCATTAATAGATAAATATATATTTTATTACTTGTTTCAATTAATGGAGTATTCAAGTCCTTCAACCTCATAGGAGAACCTGCTAGCTCTAGACATTTGAATGGATTTGAAGCAAGGTAGCTCAACTTTGCTCTGCCAGGTCTTGCTGGCAGGGAATTGAGGTGTTTGGTTCCTACATCATGGCCTTCAGCACAAATTTACTCTGACAAAGAAAACCTGAGTGACTCCAAATCGACCATAGCTTCTCCACCTTCTGCAAGTGAGATTATATGCCACAATCATTACATGGATGAGGAAGCAAGGCTGTTGATGAATACTGGCTCTAGGCTAACCGACTGCATTCATTCCCAGGAGACCACCTTGTAGAGGTTCTTTCTGGAGAATGAACACGTCAGAATGTCACCGGTGTCAGAGAAGATGTGCTTTTGGATGCCATTTTGGTTTATATCTGCTCGGAGATGTGAGGTGTATGTGCCTATTACAGTTGGAAGCTAAGACAGACCTGCAGATCAGGTTTGCGTTCATGCGAAAATCACCAAATGGTGATAAAAGCTCTGTTTCTGAAACCTAGTGAGCTGCTTCCTACATAGACAGCAAACTAATAGCAGAGTCACTGATTTGAAATGCTCTACCTAGGCATATAAATAGCATTCTCAAAAAACAAAGCAATAATATATCTCATGCTGCTCATCTTTATGCATCAATGCAAATTGCCTCAGCTGCATTTAGGTTTGCCTGTGCAAAACTGTGATGGTTTGGGTCACTTCTGGTTTGTTGGGAATGGTAAATTGATTGTCGTTTCTTTTGTTCTACAGAGTGCAATCTGCCATTAAAAGAAAATAAGCCACAGAATATAGGAGAAGAGATGCAATGGTCTATTTGACATTTACTGTTAATGTAACATATTTCCTCTATTGCAATCAGAACTGATGCTCTGGGCACTGCAACAACCTGTGTCTGCTGAAGGATCTGCATTTAGAAATTTGTTTTTGAGGCATAAGTCTGTAAACAGTTCTGCTCTTTGGTCATAAGGTTTTTTTTTTTCGTCTCCCATATGCTTGTCATTTAAAAAAATGATATAATAAATATAAACACATATCATATAATATAGTAGGTACAGTATATCGTAAAATAATAATAATAATTTCACAAAACATTAAAATAAAGCAATAAATAAACAAAACAGTCACAAAGTAATTTACAAAATAATATTTGTTATATTATTATTATTATTAAATAATACAAAATAGTAAAAAATACAATTCAAAAAAATATATAATACAATATAGAATATTATTGTATAAATTATTTTAATGCGCTGTAAAAAAAATAAATATATATATATATATATTATTTGATGTGGCTTGTTTATGGCATTTGTCTCCCCAGTTCAAAGGTCCAGCACAAGCCACCGATAACATCTGAATACATGCTAATTGAGCCGTTTGCTTTACGTTTGGCTCCTGAATTATTCCTTGACTTCTGAGAGTGAGAAAAATTCTTATTTAACTTCAGTGCCTTAAAAATGGGAGTCCCATTCAAAGCAGAGAGATGAACAATCATGTTCAAATCAACTTAATCTAGTCGAGCAACAGAGGAGCTCTGTAAATTCAGCGTCACCTCATTCATCCTCTAGTTGAGTGCTAAGTGAAGACATACATTTTAATTCATTTAGGGCCCTCATCTTGCAAATTGAGCCCTCTGTCATCTAGGCCAAATCTACCGAGAGACCTCTGTCTGCGTCAAGAAAAGACAAGATTCTGATTGAGGATCTTCTGTAGAAGTGCAAATGGATCTGAAGCATATAATTGAGCCAACCAGCTTGAATGAATCAGAACTGTAGATAAAAGTATGAATTCACACTCAAACCTTTAAGGAATAGTTCATTGGGAAAAAAAATCCCTTTAAAGCTATAATCATTTAATTTAAATCTAATATGGCTGTGAATCCTCATGGATTCTACAAAATTATTCTTGCAAACCAAGAATATGATAATTTGAGCTTTTAACATCTTAAATTTATTTTTAAAATACCCAATAAATGGTCACAGCTCATTAAAGCTTGTATTCAGAACCGTGTGTATATGATTTAGATGTTGGTCAAATGTTTAATGTGCTGTATTTGTTTGTATTTATGCTAGTATCTTTAATACCCTGAAATTAACTTGAATTAGCAAATATGATGATTTTTTTAACCTTGTTATTAATTAACACTTGGTATGACTAAGCTAATGATTGTAAAGAAACAATTTGATTAAGGTCTTTCGAGGCGCTAAAGCAGTTATATCAATGTTACACATTTTCAAAAGTCATTAACAATTATGCATGCAATTATGGATCCACAATTGGCAAAGGGTTAATTAGGGTTTTGTGGAAACACCACCATTCAAAAGGTTAGAATACTGTTCTATTTTAATATATTTTAACATATAATTTTATGTAATGGCAAAGTTGAATTTTCAGCATCATTACTCCAGTCTTCAGTGTCACATGATCCTTCAGAAATCTTTCTAATATTTAATGTCCAATCATTATTGTTATCGATGCTCAATTATTAATAATGCTTTTTATTTTTGACAGGTTTTTTTCTGCTTAATACTTTTGTGGAAATTAGACATTTAACGTGCCCTTGCTGAATAAAAGTATTAATTTCCCCAAACTATTCAATGGAACTGTATCATGGTTTCCAAAAATATATTCAGCAAACACTTTTAATATTGATAATACTAAGATATGTAATATGATTCAGAAGGATCATGTGGAACTGAAGACTGAAGTACGGCTGCCGAAAAATGTTGCATTGCCATCACAGGAATAAATGTAATTTTAAAATACAATAAATGATAAAATAGTTATTTTAAATTGTAACAATATTACAGTTTTACTGCACAAGTAAATGCAACCTTTATGAGATAATGTATATAGGAGACTCCTTTCAAAAAAACTAAAACAGCAATAACAATTAATTATTCCTACTAACTTAACTTTTGACTGGTAGTGTATTTCGCTCAAGCATTTACAAAAACAAAAGCACGCTTACCCGGTAGTAGTCAGTGCTGTAGATGTCTCTTGACATTCCAAAGTCTCCGATTTTCACCAGCAGGCCGTTGCCCACCAGGCAGTTGCGTGTGGCCAGGTCACGATGCACAAAGTGCTGAGACGCCAGGTAGACTATCCCTGATGCAATCTGACTGGCTATGTGCAGCATCTGAGACAAACCCAGTTCCCCATTGGTCTGCAGCGGCTGTCCGTCAACCAGGATCATTGCATCTGGACCATGAGCTCTGTGAGTATAACGTAATGCCACTTCAGTCCCCTAACGTATTTGGATGCTTACAACACACTTTAAAATGATTGCATTAGATAAGAATGAAATCAGAAAACATTCATGAATACTTAACAAAACAAATCAATATGAAATTAGAATGAGCTAAGGCTGCCATTTACATGTGTCAGTGCAATGTTGATTAAAGTTACCAATAGATTAATTTTTTCTTCAAAGGAAACGTATACTGTATGATTCAATTTGCATCCCTGCCAGTTCCTCTGCCCTTTCACGAATGTATCGCCTTATAGTGTCTTTACGTATGAAGCAGTTTTGACAAAACCTGTTATCCCCCATAATCCTGCTGGCTGGAAAGAGAAAGCAATTTCTGTTCTTTCGACAGGGCTCTGTCAGAAACCATGTACACCTTTGTAACCACTTCCTATTGCTTGTTCAATACCTCTGTGGAAGGTTGTAACCTATCAATCGCAGTCAGAAGGAACCTGCTGACATCACAACGCTCAACAAGAAAACGTATGCAACATTCTAATGCAGAATGAAAAAAAGAAAAGAACTACAAGTACCCATAAAAGATATTGAAATGTCCATTATGAATTATAGTAATTATGAGCAATATATACATTTCTGCTCATATGTTTACCTACTTCAGGCAGAATATGCAAATTGCTAATAATTTCAACAAAATAAGAAGGATCATGAAAATTGCAAGAGTATGTAAACTTATGAGCAAAAAATGTAGCTAAATATATGCCATAAAATGTATAGAATTATTGGGAAAATGTGAAATGTAATAATTAAAAAGCATTATTTTATTATTGTACAGACTTAACACTGCATATTTTAACAAACTTTTGAATAATTATGTTATATATATATATATATATATATATATATATATATATATATATATGTACTAATTATTAATATCATGTGTAACATAAATAATAAAATGGATCATTCTTTTGTTTCCTCATGTAAAAAAAAATTATGCATACATACATAGATAATAATTTTTTTTATTATAATTCATTTTTTAAGTCACAACAAAAAATAAATGTCCGCATCTGTGAAACCTTAAAATGTTGACATAGATATGAATTCATCATCAAAACATAGATAAGTTAATGCAATTACTGCACATATATTGTAGATATCCAAAGTGCTTTCAATTATTCATGTAACATATTCTTTCATAACAGTTCATATATTTTTCAGAATTTTAAATGCACATATCTGTGGACTAAACCTCGGGGCACCAAGGAAGATGCACAAATGACCAGCATGGCGTCTCTGGTTTGTTCGTGCCTGTCTTTGTCTTTTCTGAAAGATTAAATAGTTGCCTGTAAATCTCCTTCTTTTTGTCATCTTATATCCCGTCATTCACAGAAAAATACCCCCCTTTGCGGCCTTGGCCATGATATGTCAATTGGTTTCCCAGTCCCTCTCGCAGCCAGACTTGCATCGTGGTGTGTTTGTGAGGAATCACTCCTTCAATTATGTTATAATTGCGTTTCGCCCTCAGAGCTCGCAGTTTAATTTTAATTAGAGCTACCGTGGGTTAATCCATATCAGGAATTGCAAAGAGGTTCGTGCGTTGGAGATGGACGAGGGAACCAATTCGCAGATGGCGAGGTATCTATCCCTATCCATGATGCTTTAATACCCCTGTGTTGCAAAATTGGCCACCTGTACAGGCTGGAGAGAGCAGAGGGGACGAATCCAGCACCACCTGGGGGGCTGTCACTCGTAATAAGGGTCTGGAGGTCTTGGGCATCAGGTGGAGATGGGGGAGAGCAAAGGTACGAGAGAGACACTGGCAGCTCTTTGGCCAAAATACAATGCAAAACTTGACCTCTCTGAATTTGAGCTGGACAGCTTTCAAACAACAGCTGCTGTGGTGGAGCTCCATGCAGCCGACAAAGCCAAGCAGCTTCCCAGAGGAACGTTTTATTGCTCAGAGGTTGCTCTTCCAAAGCTGAGGAGACACATTTAGGTTTCCTTTAAGTGTCAACTGTGCCTCAGACCAGATGTTGCTACTACAGTTCCTTAGGTGAAATAAAAATAGATGAAAACGACACCATTGTTGAAAGGCAGTATAAGTATAAAGCTATGAAATTAAACGGATTGCAGCTCAAGCTCATTTCTCATTAGATTCCTCCAAGAACAGAACAGTTTGGTTTTAGAGAAACCTATTTTTAACCTCCAATCCTTTATCTTAGGAGAAAAATCTGAGAAGCAGGACACTTGCTCTATATGTAATATCATTGCTGTCTAAAATAATATGAAAAAACTGAGATATTAGAGAACTTATTATTTTCTTCCAATGGGTTGCTGGTAAAACAGGGTATGTGTGAGAATCATCTTCTGACACCATCACAGGATTCAGAAAGAACACACCAGCACCATCATTCTTGATCACAGCGTCTCCAGAATAATATGCTTTGAGGGAAGATAAACCGTCACTGGAAGACAGTGTTATTGCTCCAGATTTATTTCTCCAGCTGACCTGAACAAAAGCTGCACAACATGATAGCCAACATCATCTCAAAAATGATGAAAAAGAGGAACCCATGGGAGATCTGGGTGCTGGTAACAATATGACCAGATATCTATAACTCAAATACAGGGTTATAGATAAAAAAATACAAATAAAAATCTGAATTGCGAAATGTAAACTCTTTCTTTCTCGCAATTCTGACTTTTTAATCTGAGTTTACACCACGCAATTCTGACGTTTTTCCCTGAATTCTGAGTTGACGTATCGTAATTCTTACTTTTTTCTCTGAATTCTGAGTTTACACCACGGAATTCTGATTGTTTTTCCCTGAATTCTGAGTTTACACCACGCAATTCTGACGTTTTTCCCTGAATTCTGAGTTTACACTACGCAATTCTGACGTTTTTCCCTGAATTCTGAGTTTACACTACGCAATTCTGACGTTTTTCCCTGAGTTCTGAGTTTACACCACGCAATTCTGAGTTTACACTACGCAATTCTGACGTTTTTCCCTGAATTCTGAGTTTACACTATGCAATTCTGACGTTTTTCCCTGAGTTCTGAGTTTACACTACGCAATTCTGACGTTTTTCCCTGAATTCTGAGTTTACACCATGCAATTCTGAGTTTACACTAAGCAATTCTGACGTTTTTCCCTGAATTCTGAGTTTACACTATGCAATCTGAGTTTACACCACGCAATTCTGAGTTTACACTACGCAATTCTGACGTTTTTCCCTGAATTCTGAGTTTACACTACGCAATTCTGACATTTTTCCCTGAATTCTGAGTTGACGTATCATAATTCTGACTTTTTCTCTGAATTCTGATTTACACCACGCAATTCTGACGTTTTTCCCTGAATTCTGAGTTTACACCACAGAATTCTGATGTTTTTCCCTGAATTCTGAGTTTACACCACACAATTCTGACGTTTTTCCCTGAATTCTGAGTTGACGTATCGTAATTCTTACTTTTTTCTCTGAATTCTGAGTTTACACCACGGAATTCTGATGTTTTTCCCTGAATTCTGAGTTTACACCACAGAATTCTGACGTTTTTCCCTGAATTCTGAGTTTACACCACACAATTCTGACGTTTTTCCCTGAATTCTGAGTTTACACTACGCAATTCAGACGTTTTTCCCTGAATTCTGAGTTGATGTATCGTAATTCTTACTTTTTTCTCTGAATTCTGAGTTTACACCACGGAATTCTGACGTTTTTCCCTGAATTCTGAGTTTACACCACACAATTCTGACGTTTTTCCCTGAATTCTGAGTTTACACCACAGAATTCTGACGTTTTTCCCTGAATTCTGAGTTTACACCACACAATTCTGACGTTTTTCCCTGAATTCTGAGTTTACACCATGCAATTCTGACGTTTTTCCCTGAATTCTGAGTTTGTCTCGCAATTCTGACTTTTTTTCTCTGAATTCTGAGTTTACACCTCGCAATTCTGACTGTTCTCCCTGAATTCTAAGTTTATGTATCGTAATTCAGACTCTTTTTCCCTGAATTCTGAGTTTACACCTTGCAATTCTAACTTTTTTTCCCACTACGGAATAGAAAAAAAGGGAAGAAGATAAATTGCGACCTTATCCCTTATCCAGTGGCCAAAACGGGCTTCCATTGAAAACAGATTCACATTAAACAGTTTTAACAGGATTTACTAATATGTAATTATATTATTATTTAAGTTTTATAATGTTATTTCTTAGTTAATATGTATTAATCATATAATTTATAACAAATAATATAATACTAAATTATTTTAATTTTTTCCTTTTTTTATATTCACAACAAAATAGTATATGTTTGACTTCAACATGGCAGCATCTGTCAAACCTTGAAACCTTGACATTTCTAAACTGACAGACAAACTGACACACTCATAGATCATCAGCACTGATCTAGAGCACGGGTTCTCAAACCTCTCCATGAAGTACCCCCAGCACTCCACGTTTTGCATGTCTCCCTATATCAGACACACCCACTTCAGGTCTTGCAGTCTCCACTAATGAGCTGATGAGTTGAATCAGGTGTGATAGATGAGGGAGAAATACAAAATGTGCAGGGCTGGGGGTACTCCAGGACAGGTTTGAGAACCACTGATCTAGAGACTGTCTTCAATAGAGCACCTCAATCTCACTGGACGCTGAGTTCCTTGACCTTGGTGAACAATCCCATGTGGTAAACCATGTTAAAGCATTATCCAGGAACCGTCTGCCCACAGCGGTAACTCATTCCTCTCTGTCTATGTCATGAAGACTAAACCACAGCACTGCAATATCTCAATACCCTTACAAACCTTATATCAATGCCAAATATTAAACGCTACTGTAGCTGATCTCTCCTCGGAGCACAGCAGAGCTCTTTCCATCATTGATCTTAGTCAACAAATCCTCCACCAACACGACGTCTAGCGATCATTCCCCAAAAGAAAGCCCTCTCCGGCGGGCACAGGGGGATCAACTTTATATGTCATTTGAGGGGGGCTGGAAAAAGGGGCTTGACCTTTGGAATGAATCCTGTGTAACCGGAGAGGCCACGGCCCTGCTGGAATGGAGGGATCATCTCTTACCTTGACAGCCACCAGCATCTTGTCCTTAGTGGGGCTTAGGTTGTAGCACTCTGCCAGGAACACCTTCCCAAAAGCCCCTTCGCCCAGTTCCCTCTTGAGCACGATGTCTCTGCGCTTAATGTGCTGTACATCTGGAGAGAGAGAGAGAAAGAGAGAGAGAGAGAGATTGATTGAGCGGATTGTGTGACAGTCTTCCTGCAGGCGGTGCAGCAAAACAAGAGATTGAGGAACGTGTGAATTTCATAAGATTGCTGTCACTCAGGCTGATCAGGTAAGTTGAAGGAGCATGGCACCAAAAACTGACTCTTATGACATATAGAGTGAAAGAAAAATGAATGAAAATAAACCAAAAGAAACTTCAAGGCAATATGAAATCAAAATTGAACCTATTTACAGGTCTTATTGTCCATGATTCATATAATAATAATAATAATAATAATAATAACTGTATTATTAATAACAACAACAATAACAATAATAATAATATTTTCGCACAGAAATGTGCCACAGTGATACATTTGTAAGAATATTTTAACAACAATATTAAACCAAATTATAACAACAATAAATTATTATTATTAGTATTATTATTAATAATAATAATATCAACAACAATACCAATAATAATACATTTTAATATTAAAGGGGTGGTTCATTGCGATTTCACTTTTTTAACGTTATTTAGTGTGTAATGTTGCTGTTTGAGCATAATGTCTGCAAAGTTACGAAGCTGAAAGTTCAATGCAAACGGAGATTATGTCTTTTAAAATTCTTGCAGTTTAATGCCTACAAAAACGGCTGGTAGGGACTACAAGAAGTTAATTCCCGGGTGCGTGACGTAACAAACCCAGATAAACCCCACCCTCGGGAAAAGGCAACTAAGGGGGCGAGGCCATGCTGCGCAGCTTTAGAGAAGAGGAAGAGAAAACTAGAGGTGCATGTAAAAATCTATTCATATATGAATCGTGATTCTGTCTTCTAACGATTCTAATGGATTCACAAGTTTCAAAATCAATGTTCTAAAGCAGTGGTTCTTAATAATGTTCCTCGCGTCCCCCTGCTCTGCACACGCTCTGCATCTCTCTCTCTCATTCAGCTCAGCTCCAACAATGAACTGTTACAATTATACACTTATTTTCACATAGCTATGAGATGCATTAAACATGGACGCGCGTGCAGTTGCCGTACTGTATTAAAGCTTTAATCAGGATAAAACTGTATATTAAAAGCTAACATAAGCAGTAGCATTTACAAATACCAGTGTATCTAAAAGTATGAGACAACAACAAACAAAAAACATAGGCCTACCATTAAAAGCCGAGCTTGCACAGGTTCTGCACGATCCTCTTCAATAATATAGGGATATTAACAACACCGTTGTTTAAAATACAACCGGAGCACATGCCGCTGAGGTGAGGGGCGGGACGTTTAGACACTCACTAGAAGCGGTTTAGCCAATCACAACACACTGGGCTAGCTAACCATTCAGAGCCCATCACCTATTTCTGAGGGAGGGGCTTCATAAAAGAAGGAAATGATCAGCCCGTTTCTCAGAGAAGGGACAGAGCGGTGTGGAATAAAGGTAAATTATGTGAAAAAATAATGTTTTTTGTTTTAAAACGAAGCATTAACCCATGTTAGACTGCACCCCATAAACACAATCAAGCCTAGAAAAAAAACAGTGAACCACCCCTTTAATAAATGAAATGTTAGTAATAATTATAATGCTATTATTAAAATAATATTTATTTAATATGTAATATTAATACTCCCAATAAGTACTAATTATTATTATTATTAATAATAATAATAATAATAATACACTTTGCAATTAAAAATTAAATGTTTGAAAATAGTATGTGTATATTTAAATGTATTAATATTTCAGTCAAGTAAAAATATACATCTTAAATGTTGTTATTATTATTATTATTATTACTACATTTTTATTCAAAATACATGTAAGTAAATATTGATTTAATATTAATAATAATAATCCTAATATGTCATAATTGTTGTTATTATTATTAATGCACTTTAAATGTATTAATATTTCAGTCAAGTAAAACATTTATCTTAAATGTTGTTATTATTATTATTATTAAAAAAATAAAAGTGATTTCATAATATGTATTTGAATTTATTAATATTCCAATCAAGTTTTTAAAAAGTTCTTAATGTATCACATTTAAGGTAAATGTATCATGCAAACATTTCATTTTGTGTTTACATTATAAAAGGTAATTCAAGGTAACGTAACCTTGCAAAACCATACACACTGAGGCAACCCTTTGATGTAATTTGTTTTCCATCATTCATGTACTTTCGTCACTTTTATCCTAGATAGCTGCTGTGATCTCTGAATGCAGTTCATTTAACCCGGCTGCTCAAATGTATGCCTGTAGTGTACATTTACACAACACACACACATCTGCATCGTTTTACATCAGAATCTGTGTGTGAGCGCCCATCGGGAGCTGCAGTATGAAGCGATCTAAAGACAGGAGATCAGGTGGATTTGCCTCTGATACAGAGATGAATGAAATCACGCTTGGTCCACTGGACAGACTAATGGAGCAGCAACCAGTCTGCTGCCGGTTCAAGTCCCCGCTGAGCTTTAATGCCGTTCTGTCCTTGAGAGAAGAATGTAACCTCAAACACCCTAATAAATACTGCCACGACAGGTGATAATCTGGAGATGATCATCTTCTGTCTGACTTTAATTTCCAGATAATTGCTGGATGTTATGAAGAAATTTGATCAATAGAACAACATACAGCGGGTCACCATGAGAAATTAACTTGTGAATGAACTTGTTTTGTTTTTTAGTGTACTGTTAATGGTACGTTACGTTTATACAATATATTTTGAACTCATACAGGGTATTAGCTGTTGCATGCAAACAATATAAGACAAACTTTTCAACAGTAAAAATAACCACTTTAAACATGTTAAATATATAAATAAAGACAGTCGCAAGCTTCTATTCAGCAATAATTAGAGCCTGACAATAACACAAAAGTAACTATTACTTTTACCAACAATAGGCCTCATTCATGAAACACAAGCAGAAATAAACACATTCTTATGTAAATGGCCGTACAGAATTGAATGTCAACAAAATGTAAGCATATCAATTCATACAGAAATTTGTTAGAATAATAGATTTGCATAAATGCTTTGCCAAATAATTCCAAATACATACATAATGTCAACATATTCTGTTACACCAAATACACAAAATAATGATCTTTAAAAAAGCATCATATGACCCCTTTAAAATAATTACGTGTATTATTTAGTTTATGTGTATGTAATACCATATTTTCAAGTAAAAATGCTCACATTTAGGAAGGTCAAAGTATTGTAAATTAATTTTGTGTTTCCATTATTATTATTATTATTATTATTATTATTATTATTATTATTATTATTATTATTATATTTTAATATTTATTACAATTTAATAGTTAATAAATGTTAGTACATATAGATTTGTATGTATTTATTATTACTTATTATTATTATTTGTATGTATTTATTATTATTATTATTATTGTTATTGTTGTTGTTATTATTATTATATTTTAATATATTACAATTTAATGGTTAGTAAAGTTTATTTTTATGTATTTATTATTACTTATTAAGTTTATATTCTTCTTATTTTTATTATTATTACTAATTGAGTTTATTATATATGGAAATTACAAAAGCAATGTTAACTGCTTCTATAATGATTTTTATTGTATATTTCAATCAAGTTTTTACATTAAGGTAAATGTAATTTAAAAGCTATTTCTATTTGTGTTTACGTTATTCTTAATAAATAAAATGTTTGTAATTAATCATTATTTATCATTTATTTATTAAAATTTATTAATATTACTATATTAAATATTAAAACGGAATAATATATTTAAGTCATAAAAACTGAAGATAACTTAACATATCTTCAATATGAATAGAAACGTCAAACTGAGCAGATTTAACCACGGCTAGTGAAGTGCAACTCATAGTGATGTAAGGCAGCCTGAGCGGGTCTTTAATCTCTGTACCTTCCACCTGCTTCCATTCCCAGCTCTCAGTCTGCTGCGAGGCAGCGAGCTCCATATGGCCGACCACGACAGCATCTGCTATTTACTCCAAACAGGAGTTTTGGATAAGCCACCGTCCAACATCAACACTTACTGCCTGAAGTTACGAGTCAATCTAGAATTTTTCCCCAGCAGAAAGGCCAATTCTCCAAGGAAAAAAACAAAACAAATATTGATGAATGGACGGCACTCAAGGATAGCTTTTTGTATTAGCTGGCAATCACCCTGTTCTTCATCTAAACAGAGGCTCTAATCAGCAGAAACATATTAGGGACAATTTCATTTAGGGCTGCCGAGGCAATTGCACGTTGTGGCAGGCATCCAATGACGATGGTAAATATTTCAGCACACTCGATTATACAAGTCTCCATCACAGAAGGTTTTTTCACAAAGGCACCGGCTGAGATTAAGACAAAGGATGGCGAACACATGCATTACTTCCAAAATAATTAAAAAGCATTTATTTAATCAGGACAGAAAAAGACGACGAAAGAGAGAGCTTGAGACAAAGATGGAGAGAGAGAAAGACCTTTTGTTTTCTCCATTTCCTATTCTCCAGTTTCTAGTGAGTGATAGGTTCACAATTAGCAGGTGACGGGTGCGTTGGAAGCGCTTTCAGCTTGCGGTGCAATTAGGAATGTTACAAATTGCGCGGGCTAATTGACTTATTACGCCAACTGTTGTGTTGCGTTCACCTCACAGGTTGCGTTGTGAGAGGGCACTCAGGTTACCCGCGCTAGACATCGTCTGTCTAAACATAGCGAGCAGCTGGGAATACAGGACATGGACTTCATCCTAATTAGGCCGTTTTTACCCCCACAGCTCTGCCGCAGATGTTTACTCGGTCTCGCTGAAAATGACACAACGGACCAAACCGAAGCTGATTCGGGTTCAAATGCATGTAAATCGCTGCAAGAAAAAAAATAAAAAAAGAAAGAAAAAACAGGATTAGGCCGGACTTTCCCCACAGCAATTTACTTCCTCGCTTGAAAGCGATGCTAAATGAATCTGAAAGAGCACCTGTTTCCAGTCAG